TGATATGTCGAGACCTGATAACTGGGTATCACAAATCGAAATATTCATTTTGATTGCATTATCATTTATAACATTATTTCTAATCAACTGTTACAAAATGTCGATAAGATGTTAGTGAAAGTTCAAAAATGGACATGAAAAAAATTACGGACGTGATTAATGATCAAAAAAATTCAACTTTGGATTAATTGCATACACTGAATTTAAACACAAAATCGTCAGTTTGAATTGATCACAGCTTTAAACTTTATGCAATGGAATCTGATTGGCTTTGATCGTTATTGACAAATTTTTATCCAGTGTTAAGAAAACATTTTTCTTTGCTCATCAAGTTATAATATGAATAAGTTTTTTCGCAAACTTTTCTAATTTTTTAAAAAGGTTCATTTTTCACCAAAAACGAATCATAATATTCTACCCATTTTCTTTCTAATAAAGAGTAATAATTCCAAAAATTGCTCAATTTTTGTGGCATTTGGAGTGGGTTCTAAAAATGGATTCACGAAGAAATCTTTGGCATCATAAACAAAAAGTCCTTCTTTTCTAAGACTTTTTAATGATCAATTTTTATCAAAAATTTAATTTGAGTTGACTTTTTATTGAATTCAGGTTTTTGGGGCACTCAAACTTTAACAAGTTATGAATATCTGATGAATTAGTTTTAGCTCTCATTTATTTAATGTTTGTTTCGACACTCTAAACACAATTTGACTGAGATTTATGTAGGTGTTTAAAGTTTAAAAGAAAAACTATTATGCAAAAATACTTTTTTTACCAACCTTTATCCTTTTCCAACCTTTCCAAAATTTGAGTATTAAAACGTTTCTTAAGATCAGATTGCAAGACTCTACTCTCTATTCCAATTTATTATAAGATTACGGTTGGCAACTGCAAAATCTTCTGTTTTTAAATCGTTTAATTGCAAATAAACTTTGGAAAAATTGCTTAATTCTTTAAATTTGCCTATTTTTATGGACCATTTCATCACATTTCAGAATCACATTTCAGAATCACATTTATTGTTTTTATTGTGTTCAGCACATGCGAAATTTTTTAACCTTGAGAACTAGCTGTTAATTTTTTATCATTCTTGGTTACTGGCAATGTTATTCTGCTATTTTCGAATGCTGAATTTCTGCTTTCTTTTTAATTTAGATGTTGGCGAAAAGAGAGCAAATGCGAGGAAGAAGCAACCCAATCAATCCAACGAAGATGATGCCAAATGTTTTCTGCATAATTTCATTAAGACTTAACAGCCAAAAGGCTAAAGTCATTTAGAAACTAGGTTAGAAAATTATTTGATTGTTGACTATAAAATTTTTTTCTGTTGGTATGTCTCTCGTTATTTCTTTATTTGTCTCTTTGACTTGGGCTGATATTCGTGAGCGGAATTTCGCAAGGTTTTAAATGCAGTTCAAAATTCTAAATAAATATAAATAAAAGTAATGTATATATAGATAAAATATAAAAAATAAATAGATTGATAATGGTCACTTTGCGTGTTGTCCGCTTCGAAATTTAAAATGCTGCTATGCGTGCCAAAGTCTCACCCACATCACTTTCCACTTTCAGAAATTCATCATCATGAACCGTGGTCCACATATAGAAAAGCAAAGAATCGTTAACCCGACGGAAACCTTTCAAATCGCTAGCCAGTTTCAAAACATGCCCAGAGAAGGCTTTAAGGTGCGTAAGTATGCCTTTTTTTCTTCCTTTCTAAATTGGATTTCCTGCTTTTTTTCAGAGGGGGGCAGGTAAGTATGCGGCGGCGCGGGATACCCCACTAACTTGAACTGAGTCTCGACTCAGTTCAGGTTAGTAGGAAACTGTTTTACCCGGCCTAACCGGCGTAAAACAGTTTCCTCTTCAATCATGTGCAATTGTTTACAGCCTCGGCTGCAATTGCTAGCCTAGCCACCCAGCTCCCCGGTCCTGGCCCCCCCCATCCCCCGGTCCGCAGGGGGGATGGGGTGGGGCCAGGGCCGGGGAGCTGGGTCGGCCGGCCGGCGGCTGTGGCCGCGGCCGTGAGCGGTCGCACACGTGCGACGGGGGTAGGGTGGGGGCAGGGGGGCGGGGCAGGGGGGTAGGGGGAGGGGTTTTTTTCTTGTTCATTCGTTGCTTGTTTAATCTTTCTTTCTTTTTGTTTTCGTAGGCTCTGATGAAACAACAAGATTGACAGGGAACTGAGGAGGTCCTCTTATTTTTTTAGGTCTTTGAAGACTTTGAAGAGGACTTTGAAGAAGCAGAAAGACGTTTTGGTCCACTCTGCAGTTTTTGCAAAGAACAAGAAGCAGCAAAAAGACGTCAAATTGAGATCCAGCTACCAGCAAAAGACGAGAAAGTTGTCGTGCTAGACTTTGGAAACTAGTTGCAAAAGAGAACAAGAAAAGGCCCAGATTATTGCAGCATTTCAAGCACAAACAATTCTTGTAGTGTAATTTGTTTTAATGTTTGGCCTTTTTCCAATTTCCAATTTTTGATAGACATACTTTTGAAACCGAAATGCCGAAAAAATAATTTTGTTGTTGTCTAGACTTAGAACTTTTTCCAATTTTCTTCTAGAGAGTTATTGCAGCGATTATTGTAGAGTAAATTATTTTAGTGTATGTTATTACGTAGAACTTGTTTCTTAAATCACATGTCTCCAAGACCTTTTCAGGAGAGTTACTGAAACAAGAAATGGCAGAGCAGCATATCACGTACATTATAGAACTTATAGGCTTATAGGCTATTTGGAAATCGCTGTTTATCTTGTAGGCCATGTTTACCTGTGTCTTACATTTTTTGCGTCTCTCTCTCGTATACTTAAACAAAACACAACAATCCACAGCATGACACTCCCATTACATAATACTCCTCTAACATAGCAATACTCTAACAATAATACCCATTACATAGTACTCCTCTAACATAGCAATACTCTAACAATAATACCCATTACATAATACTCCTCTAACATAGCAATACTCTAACAATAATACCCATTACATAATACTCCTCTAACATAGCAATACTCTAACAATAATACCCATTACATAATACTCCTCTAACATAGCAATACTCTTCCCTTGACATAACTTGACTTCCCATGACCAACTCCTCCCCTCCAAGACTTTTTGACACTTCTCCTTTGAGACAACGACACTTCTTCTTTGAGGCACCGCTCCTCCTCCTCCCATAAGACAACCTTCCATCAGACAACACTCATCCTTCCATCAGACAACACTCAGCCTTCCCCTGAGACTCCTCCTCTCCAAGACTCCACGATAATCCTCCTCTCCAAGACTTCTTTGACACTTCTCCTTTGAGGCACCGCTCCTCCCATGATACGATACTCCTCCTCCCATGAGACGATACTCCTCCTCCCATGAGACGATACTCCTCCTCCCATGGGACGATACTCCTCCTCCCATGAGACGATACTCCTCCTCCCATGAGACGATACTCCTCCTCCCATGAGACGATACTCCTCCTCCCATGAGA